CGAAACCTAATCTTCACAGCATCTACGCCCTATCACAGCAAACCCTCAACCCTAAACCCCAAACCCTAAACCTCCCATCTCTCAAAACAGGCTCTCGCGGATCGACTCATTGGAGAGCTGTACCCAACTCGAGGCCTTGGTTTGAGTTTCGGGTTTAGGGTTTTGGGTTTAGGGTTTTGGGTTTAGGGTTAAGGGTTTCGGGTTTAGGGTTTCGGGTTTGGGGTTTCGGGTTTAGGGTTTTGGGTTTGGGGTTAGGGTTTTAAAGTTTAGGGTTTCGGGTTTAAGGTTTAGGGTTTCGGGATTCCGGTTTAGGTTTCGGGAAGAGGGTTTGAGGGTTAGGGTTCAGGGTTTAGCGATTCAGCCTTAGCACACAGCAGTTTACTAGTAGAAATTCAATACAATGGCGAGTAGCAACCATCAGAGGCACAGTAGTCGTCAGAGTATCTCCTGGAACAGCCCCTAGAAATCTAAAGCTCTAGGATTAGGGTTTAGGGATAGGGGTTTCGGGCTTAGGGTTTTGGGGTTTAGGGTTTGGGGTTTAGTGTTTGGGGTTTAGGGTTTGGGGTTTAGGGTTTGGGGTTTAGGGTTCAGGGTTTAGGACTAAAGCCTTCAGAACGCCTTCAAAAACCCGCAGATCCCGATTCTGCCTCTGGGCTCTGCAGCTCCCCCCTAAACCCTAAACCCTAAACCCTAAACCCTAAACCCTAAACCCTAAACCCTAAACCCTAAACCCTAAACCCTAAACCCTAAACCCTAAAAACCCTAAACCCTAAACCCTAACCCCCCCCCCCCCCCAAACCCCGCAACCCTGGGCACCCTCACCCTGGAGCTCCACAGGAGCTCAGCGTCCCACACCAGTTTCCGGGAGGTGAAGAGAAGCCTTTGCAGGTGGGGCTTTCCGGTTTGGGCTTGCTTCTAGAGGGTTTCGTGTTTAGGGTTTGGGGTTTGGGGTTTAGGGTTTAGGGGTTATGTGGGGCTCAGGCTTCAAAACGTTTAGGGTCTACAGGGGGGGGGGGGGTTCGACATGTTTTGTGTTTCGGTTATCCTAAACCCTGAACCCTAGGAGGGGACCACTATACATTATATGACGGGCTTCATCGTGAAGTCCCTCGACACCTACGCGAAACCCAAGAACCCTGAACCCTACTTCAACCCTAAACCCTAAAACCTACAGCCTAAGACTGCACAGGCCTTTCGAAGTTGTGAGAGCCACCAGTCCACCGAGTTATGGAGTCCTAGATCCTGTGAACCTGGGCTCGAACCCCAACTCTGAACATGTCTGAAAAAATCCTCTAGGGTTCCGTGCTGAGGGTTCAATCCCCAAACTAAAAACAGACAAGGTCAAGGTTGAGGGATTAGGGTTGAGTTTCAGGTTTAGGGTTCTCCCCCCCCCCCCCCCAAACTAAAAACCGACAAGGTTAAGGTTTAGGGATTAGGGTTGAGGTCAAAAGTAAGCATCTTATGCAGACTTATACACGGCCCTAAATAAAGGTGATACCCTAAACCCGAAACACTAAACCCTATACTCAACCAAAACCTTGAGGCTTGGCTCGCATATAGAAGCCTCGAAGATCCATCAGAGTTTCCAAGCTTCCTACCTACGCTGTGGGGTTTAGGGTTTAGGGTTTAGGATTTAGGGTTTGGGGCTGTAGGGTTTACGGCTTAGGGCTCGCAGATACCCACCAAAGGGTGCCGACATAAGAACCTGCACACCCAACTCCCCAAGAACTTTGATCCCCTTAAGCCCCTGAACCGCCAAAGCCCTTAAACTCTTAAACCCCAAGACTCCCAAACCCTCAAAACACTTCAACCCTAAACCCTGAACCCTCACCCCTAAACCCTAAAAACCTTAAAGGCCCTGAAGTATGCGAACCTGAATCCCTCATCCCTAAACCCTTAAATCACCAGCGCCCGAGCAAAGCCTGAGCTGCATCTGCGCCAGTTCTGCCCCAACTCGCTGGCAGCTATCGGGCCCACACTCAACGTGCTCAACGCCGCAGGGAATCACCTGCAGGACAGGCAGGGTTTAGGGTTTAGGGTTTAGGGTTTAGGGTTTGGGTTTAGGGTTTAGGGTTTAGGGTGTAGGGTTTTGGGTGTAGGGTTTTGGGTTTAGGGTTTAGGGACATGCTGTCAACGAAGTGGACGGAGCCTTCAGAGTTTTGATGGTCTACTGGCAGATCCTTAGTTGGGAAGAGGTTTTTGAATAAAATGACCCTAAACCCTAAACCCTAAACCCTAAACCCTAAACCTGTGTAAACTAGACGCAAAGGAACCACATCTTAGCACAGTCTGCCAAGCTCCCTAACCCTCAGCTCCTTCACAAGACCAAGAACTACTAAACCCGAACCCCCACACCCGATTCCCAATGCCCAATAACAGGAAAAATGACCTTCATCCCTAAGGCAGACTCTCCTTTCAAGCCTGCTAGTGCGTTCCCATCCGTTGTTAAGTTTCGGGTTTCGACGATCTATCATGCGGTGGGCGTGCGACTGTGCCGGCTGAGCTTTGGGGGGTTTAGTGTTTAGGGTTTAGGGATTAGGGTTTAGGGTTTAGGGCTTAGGGCTTAGGGTTTAGGGTTCTTCGATACCCCTTTACCACCCCCCATCAGGGCGGGGAAATTTACGGTGTAGGGTTCAGGCTTTAGGGTTTGGCGCTTGGGGTTTAGGGCAACTTCATAAGGGCTCATCCACTCCAAACAAGCAGACCTCGCGGTGCCCAAGAACCGTGACAGCGAAAGTCTAATTTGACCTTGTAGGCATCGAGGCTTTTTTTTCACTATGGTAGTATTATACTGATCAGGGGGTTTACGAAAATCGGGGATCCCCAGATATAGGCTCCCAAAATAGTAGGATCCCCTTAAACTCAGGACCCCAATAAGAAGAAGGTGCCCCGAATATCGTAAACTTGTCTATATCAGTAAGGTGTTTTTACGATTATATGAATGTATGGTTACTTTATTGATCTTTTACTTTATGGCTCTGCTATGCTACTGCATCATGAGATGGGCATCAGTCAAAACTTGGCGGCTCCTGTGAGTTACTTCGAGCTGGACACCAAGTACCAAAACCCTGTAAAACGACGGGCTCACCTGACAGTCGACACCCCGGGAAATAAGGTTTAGGATTTATAGGGTTTATAGGGTTTATAGGGTTTTTAGGGTTTATAGGGTTTATAGGGTTTATAGGGCTTATAGGGTTTAGAGGGTTTAGAGGGTTTATAGGGTTTATGGGGTTTATAGGGTTTATAGGGTTTACATGGTTTAGGGTTTAGGGAAGTAAGTCAGAGCCTCGTAGCTTGGAAAAGCCTTTTGATCAGATTTGAGAGCGACACCCAAGGGACGGCAGTTTGGCAGCCCACCTGGCTCCGGGCTCGTAAACCCTAAACCCTAAACCCCAAACCCAAACCCTAGTTCCTAAACCCTAACCCTAAACCCTATAAGCCCAACATCTCATCCTCGTCTTCCTGGCGTCCTAAGGATTGCACGTTCTGCACGGGATGAAAACTCCGTCACTATTGTGGGAATGGTTCGCAGCCTTCATCTCGCAACATCGCGAACAAGCAAAGGGGTAACATGCATGGCAACAAACCCTTGCAAAGCGACGGGACCACCTGAAAAGCTTTAAACACAGCTTACGGGCGCTCATATTAACACAGTGATGTTTTTAATGTTCTACTGTTATCAGTACTGTCATTTTTAGAAACATAACTCATGCATGTTTATTATGTATATGTGTTTACTTTTATTGTGATATGTTTATTATTATTATTATTATTATTATTATTATTATTATATACATATGTATATATATTCACTATAGGATTATTGCATTGTATTTTCTTTGCAGTTTGCTCTGAATTTCGTTTTGCCATGATACTTTTAGATTATTCTACTATTCTCTTCCTCCATGATTGCCTTGCTATTCTGCTATATTAGTATGATGTCATGCTGTAGTCTTTGTCATATTGCTATATGGATATAGTGTTGTATGAGATCGTTATATTGTCATATGTTTCTCTTGTGATTGTTCTACATGTCTATGTTGTTCTATGGCTGTCTTGTTATATTGTTGTATTGTTGCATGCTATATAAATATAAATATATATATATATATAGTTATTCCCGAAAGCATCGCGAAGGGTTCTTCCGTGCGGAGCCCTCTGACCCAACAACATAGACTGAAGTGCATAGAGTGAAGTGCATAGCGTGAAGTACACAGATGCATAGAGTGAAGTGCGTAGAGTGAAGTGCTAAACCCTAAACCCTAAACCCTAAACCCTAAACCCTAAACCCTAAACCCTAAACCCTAAACCCTAAACCCTAAACCCTAAACCCTAAACCCTAAACCCTAAACCCTAAACCCTAACCCCTAAACCCCAAACCCCAAACCCTAAACCCCAGACGGGCCATCCTAGAGGAGCTGGAGCAGCTGGCCATCCTCGGGTCCCTCACCAGCCTGGACCTGTCTGAGAACAAGATCGCCCAGGCAACGGGGCAAAGAGGTTTAGGGATTAGGGTTTAGGGTTTAGGGGTTTAGGGTGTAGGGGTTTAGGGTTTAGGGGTTCAGGGTTTCGGGTTTTGACTGGATTTGGGGTATAGTTTGGGTCTAAGGTCTCATGTACAGTTGTTTCACACCGACGTTACTTTTGGCTCAAGTGTGCGGTTGCTAAAATAGCGTTTCATGGTAGCGGAGCACCTGGTTGATGGTGCTGACGCTTCTCTTGCGTGCCGCTTGTGGTAGAAGGGCACGACCTCGTGTGGAGGGGAGAAGGTTCACTCACGATCCAGAACGCGCACAGAGGAATTGGGTTCGGCTTCTGGCCAAGCTGCGGAAGGTACAAAAGTACCAGAGGTTGTTCCACAACCTGGGGCTGAGGCTTCAGGACTTCCCGAAGGGACTGCTTGATAGGGTCTCGAGGATCCTGAGTGGCGTCGTTCGTCGGCACACACGACTCTTTGGAAGGTAAGACCCGGTTCGGGACTTGCCTAGGAAAGAAAGGCAATGGCGGGAGAAGCTGGAACAGGAGAGCAGCTCTTGATGAGGCTGCTGCAGACGCAGCAAGAGCAAATGGGGCAGATCCAGAGATTGCTGGAACAGAACCAGAGGCCACGAGGAACTGTGGTGGACACTAAGGCCATAGGCCGGCCCGAGAAGCTAGGAGGAACACTGGAGGACGCCTCACGTGCATGGCGCCAGTGGAACTATCGGTTGGAACTTTGGCTCACGAGCCAGTTTCCGGAAACCCGGTCGATCCTAACTTGGGCTCGGACCCAGGATGAGGAGATCACCGTTGCCAAGCTAAGTGGACAGCTGGTGGAGGGAGTGATTCCAGAAAAGGTTCAAGAGTTCAATCGGCAGTTGGAGGTGGTCCTGGGTACTTTGACTATGGACACTCCAGGGGACATCACGATGAACTCGAGTCCAGGGTCTGGTCTGGATATGTATCGGCGGCTCCACGGGAGATTGGACCCCACCGATATGGTGACCAGCTTCCGTTGGCTGCGACAGCTTATGTCAACGAGGCCTGTGACAGAAGTGGGCGACCTGATCGCTGCAGTGGAGAGATGGGAAGACCAGCATCGTAGATATGCTGCCCGTCGGGACTGCACGGCGCTGACGGGTATCGTTGCTGGGGCTAGTGCCCTCTGAGCTGCAGTCACACCTCGAGCTAAACCTCCCACGGCTCAACACGTACGATCTTCTGAGAAGAGAGATCGTGACCTTCGCCGAAAACAGGCGGGCTTTTACAGTGGACGATTCAGGAGCAATCCCGATGGAGGTCGACTACGCTAAGGGGAAAGGGCAAGCAAAGGGCAAAGGCAAGGAGAAGGAGACCCGCAAATGCCACAAGTGCGGCAAAGCGGGACACCTTGTCAAGGACTGCTGGAGCACGACTGACATCAGGAAGAACAAGGATGCAGGAGGTTCTAGTGGTTCCGGTGGTAACCCCAAGACCCCCACCCCAGGAGGCCGAGGTAGAGGGAACCCGCCGAAGGGTAGGGCTCAAGGTAGGGGCCGCGGCGGGAAAGGCAACCGGGGCGGACACGCTCGCGAACTCGAAGGCGAGGAAGAGGAGCCTGAAAACGAGGAGCCCGAGCAGGAGGAAGAGTACGAAGCCGAGGTGGGCTTCATAGGAATGCTCGAAGGTGAAGGAGAGGACCCAGGAGAGGGAGACGGCGAGCCGAAGAAGACCGAAGGGAAAAAGGAGAAGAAGAAGAAAGAAAAGAAAAAGGAAGGAGCCCACGAGGGCACGGACGACGAGTCCTGGGGCGGCTGGCAGCCCGACTCTGGCGCGGGATCGTCTCGAGACCCGCCAGAGGGAGGGCGAGCAAGAGCCAGCGCTGCAAAGGCAGCCGGTGGTACACCTTCTATGACAGGAGTTGGGCTGCGCTTGCTTGAGGGCAACCTTTTGGCCGAGCTGCAGGGGCGACAAGCAGAACTCAACCGGGCCCTTGCGAACACCGAAGACACCGAAGAAAGGTCCGACCTGGAAGCTCAACTGGAGGTGGTAACCCGCCAGTTGAAGGAGCTTGCGGCCAAGAGGAGAGCTGCCCGTGCCAGTCCTGCTGGGAGCTGGCGTACGTCTTCCCGCATATTGGCGGACGTCCGTTCGGGGCGAAAGGCGTCTTTGGCAAAGAGAAAAGAGCTCAGCCGCCAGCGAGCGGCCAGGCACAGGCAGGCCTCCCGTGAGGGGAGAGCTCGCCAGAGAGTTGCGCTCGATGGGGAATGGCACCGCAGGTACAATCGCCCACTGAAGGGGGACGATGGGAAGCGCGATGCCTATCCTCTGATGCCGGAGAGCACCGAGCGCGAAGCCAGACCCCTTAGCCGAAAGGCAAGGGAGAACCTTCGCCAGGAAGGTGCTGGGGACGACGTCCCGGAGGAGCACATCAGGAGTTGGCGAGAGAAGCCGAAAACTCCAGGGGAGCGCGAGGGCAAGCGCCGCAGGGAAGCGGCAAGGAAGAAAAGGAAGGCCGAACAGGCCGCAGCTGCGAGCGGCAGTGCAGGACCCGCTTCGGGACCTGCCAGGGCCAAGGCCGCAGCAAAGCCCAAGGAGCCACCTGGGCCGAGGGGCAAGGAAGTGAAGGGCACCGATCGGCCTGCAGAGCCGTCGGGGGAGCCTCCGCGGAGGCGATCCAGGCCCAAGCACTCTGCCAAGGTAGCCGAGGCTATCCGGACAGCGCCGTGGCGCAACAATGGCAAGCTGCCCAGGAAACAGGAGAAAAAGGTGGCAAGGAGGGCGATGGTGGGACCTCGTCTCGAGACCCACCAAGGAGCCCGGAGGGAGGGCCAGCGGCCCAAGGTTCGGGAAAGAGCCCAGGAGAAACTCCGGGACGAAGGCCAGTAATGGGCCGGAGCAAGATCCTAGGGGCAGCGTTGGCTGGAGCACTGAGGGCCCAGTCAAAGAGGATGCCCCGTGACAGGATCATTAAGTGGAGCCAGGTGAAGCGCCTGGTGGACGCCCACAAGGGCACAGATCGCTTTCGACAGCGACAAGGGCTGAGGAGGGCCCTGGTAAAGAAGCTCCCAAAGGGAACGGTCGGGGCGGCAGTTGAGCGCAAGTTGCTGGACAGCGACTGCGAGAGCTGCACCTCGAGGCGAGGAAAAGCTACGAAGGCTGCCGCAAGAGCTTACGCCGAGAAGATCCTTTCGAGGAAAGAGAGGATGAAGCATCTACCGCTCCTTCCGAAGGATGAGGAAGAGGACGAAGAAGAAGAAGAAGTCGAGTTGGAGGAGGAAGACCCCGACGCTGACCACGAACCACTGGGGCGAAGAGGTCCAGAAGACCCGCCCGATGGAGAAGGCGGCATGGAAGGCCGCGTGGGAACCGTGTTTTCCTTGGCTGGAAACGGGGCCGGGAATGGAGCCGCTTCGGCACCTTCCCGGAACCAGAAGCATCCATCTATGGAGGTAATCCTGGACAGTGGTGCGAGCCACAACGTGATCCCCGACAAGGTGTTCCGGCGGCTTTTCGAGGAAGGCCGAGCCACTGCTCTGAAGAAGGTGAGCTCGCCGCTGAAGTTCTCCACCGCGAGTGGGGAGAGCCTGCCCAACCTGGGGACGACAGAGGTGTATCTGAGTGGCCCGTCGCCAGATGGATCGGCCACCCGGTGCAGATGCATCTTCAACGTGGCAGCCGTTCAGCGTTGCCTGCTGTCGACTGGGCGTGCCATGGACCGTGGCAACGCTTTGGTGTTTGCGGGAAAGAGCGCGACGCTTTGCCTTCCTGATGGAAAGGCCCTGCTCTTCCCGGTGCGTGGAAGCCCCCGCGCGACGTTTCGCGTGCTTCCTGTGCACCCTCACCGGCAGCAAGCAGCGTAAGGCCGGCTCCAGAAGGCTTCAAGCCGACAGTGGCGTTTTTAAGGGCCCTGAAAGGGCTAAGCATCCCGGAGGGATGCGCTTCGTTGCACTCATTGGGGAAAGACCTTGAAGGCAGGAGCCGTAGCTGTAGAGCCGTTTCGTTTCACCCTGAACAGAGCCATTTTGGCGCGGTAGAGAAGAAAAGGGCCGGAAGTGCCTGTAGGGTAGGAGTGTCTGAGACCCTAACCCCGGTTGGTTTAGGTGGTTGGGTTGAAGGAAAGGATAGGAAGGAAAAGAAGGAAGGAAAAGAGGAGAAGAACGCAGCAGGCGCTGCAGTGGAATACTACAACCTTTCCTGAGCCGGAGGTTTTCCCGATCCACTCGGATGGTGAAGAGGACGAGGCCCAACCGTTTGGGGATGAAGACCCAAGCCAGGTGGAACCCGGCTCGGGATCCGCCCAGCCAGGAGGCGAAGAGGCACAGCGTGCGAGACCGCTTCGGGCTCCACCAGTGCCAACGCCTCAAATGGTTGCAGAGCATGAGGTAACGCATATCCCTTACAGGGCGTGGTGCCCAGCCTGCGTCGCTGGACGAGGGAGAGCCTACTCTCACCACCACGAGGGCCGCGAGTCCGCAGTGCCCGTAGTGTCAGCCGACTACCTGTACTTCTCTGAAAAGGGAGTACCAGGGAAGAGCCTGCCAACTGTTGTCTTGAGGGACCGTGCCTCCAAGGCAATCTTCTCTCACTTGCTGCCAACCAAAGGGACAGTTGGTTCGACCTATCCCGAAAAGGCAGTGCTTCGAGATTTGAATTGGTTGGGGTACAAGTGCCTGGTCTTGAAAACGGACCAAGAAAACCCAATCAAGGCACTGGGGGCTGCAGTCAAGGCTGGTTTCTCAGAGGAGTTGACTCTGGAAGAATCGCCCAAGGGCGACGCTCACGGGCAGAGCAACGGAGCAGCTGAAAATGCGGTGCAGCGTGTGCAGGGACAAGTGCGCACAATGAAGTATGCCCTGTCGGTTATCTTCCCTTGGATGATCGAGTATGCCGGGGTACTCCACACCCTGTTCTCCCAGGAGGACAGCGAGGGCATGACACCGTTCCAAAAGCTGAAAGGCCGGACTTGGCAGATAGCTCTACCAAGTTTCGGTGAGATCGTGGACTATCGCCGACGGGCGAAAAGCAAGCTAGATGCCAGATGGCAGGAAGGAGTCTACCTGGGACTGCGGCTGACAAGCTCGGAGAAGATTATCGGGACACCTTCGGGTATCCTGGTGGTGCAATCAATCCGAAGAAAGCCAGCAGACAAGCAGTTCGATCTCGAGATGCTGAAGGCTGTGAAGGGAACTCCTTGGCAGCCGAATCCCGAGAAGAGTCCAGGAGCGGACGCCGACAGACTTCCTGAGCCTATCGCGATCGAGCCAGTGGTTGCGCCAGCAGAGCTGCCGCCACCACCGGGCCAAGCAGAGAGGTTGCCTACGTATCGGAGGATGTACATCCGACAAAGTGACCTGGAGCAGTTTGGCTACACCGGGGGCTGCGAAGCCTGTGCCGCAATTCGCGAAGGGAGAGAACGCCAGGGCATCAACCACAACGAGACGTGTAGGAAGAGGATCCAAGAGGCGCTGAAGGATACCTCTCGGGGCCAAGCCCGCCTGGAGCGAGAGACTCAGCGCGAAACCGAGTACTTCACGAAGGTCCACGAGGCAGAAGAAAAGAAGAGGAAAGGTGAGAAGGAAAAGGAGAAAGAAGAAGGGCCGGAGCCAGGAGGCACAGGGGCGAGCGAGCCTAGCCAGCCTAGCAGGCTACCGAGCCAAGCTGCGAAAACAGTGGAGAAAAGGAAACCGTCCAAAGCAGAGCCCGCTTCCGCCGCGCGAGAAAGCAAGAAGCCAGCAGTTGCCGCTTCGGGAACTGCTTCGGCTGGCAAGCGGAAAAGCGAGGACCCTGGGGACCAAGAGAGGTCCGAGCTTAGGCCTGCAAATGACCGAGCAGAAGCCTCCAAGCGCAAGGCTGAAGACGTCGAGGGAATGATTGAGACCCTTATCGCTGACGAGCGAAAGGCGTGGACTAAATCCCTGGAAAGAATCGAGCAGCCTACTTGCGACCTGGTTGATGGTTTAGTAGAGGAGGTCTTAGCCGAGACTTTCTACGACGACCTTACCGGGAAGGAGCTTCCCGCAGAAGGTGTTCGGGCCGCACGAGCAGAGGAATTGAGCGTCATACGGCAGATGGGAGTGTGGGAAACCATACCACGTCCTGCCAACGAAAAGGTGATCGGCACAAGGTGGGTGGATGTCAACAAGGGAGACAGTGCCCGGCTTAAGCTGAGATCCCGGTTAGTCGCTCAAGAACTCAAACGTGCTCGAGGACCACAACAGCCAGAAGATCAGTCTACATGGAGCGATTTCTTCGCTGCCATGCCACCGCTGAGTTCGCTGCGGGCGCTATTCACTCTAGCGTCGACACGCCAAGTACCCAACGCTCGGGGAAAGTTGTCACCCGCAGGATCCGGTGGAGAAGTCTGCCTTATGTTTCTGGATGTGAAGAAGGCACATTTTTGGAGCCCTGTGCGCCGAAGATTGCTGGTTGAACTTCCGCCAGAAGCTGGAGAAGGGCGAGACAAGGTCGGACTCTTGAAACGTTCCTTATATGGAACACGAGATGCACCCTCCAATTGGGAAAAAGCCATCAAGGATGCTCTAGAAGGTTTGAGCTTCAGGCAAGGCCGAAGCAATCCCTGCCTTTACTTCCACGAAGAAAGATCCTTGCGACTAAATGTCCATGGCGATGACTACACTGTGGTTGGGAGTTACGAAGAGCTCAAGTGGCTAGAAGCTGAGCTGGGCAAGGTTTGGACAGTAGAAACAAGAGGCATCCTGGCAAGACCCGGTTCGGAGCTGCCAGGCGTGATTCATCAGATATCTGTCTTGAACCGCCTAGTGACGTGGACCCATGAGGGAATCGAGATGGAAGCCGACCCTCGGCATGTGGATTTGATTCTGGAACAGTTAGGTCTGGAGAAAAGCCTCTCTGTGACCACTCCACTGGTCAAAACCAAAGAAGAGGACATGGACAAGACACCACTTGGAACTGCTGAAGCAGCTCTGTACCGTTCCATAGCTATGCGAATTGGTTACCTGTCTATGGACAGACCCAACCTGCTGAGAACCGTTCGCGAGTTAGCAAAGGGACTGAAGGAACCCCAACAACACCACTGGGGTCTCCTGAAGAGAGCTGCGAGGTACCTCCGAGGCGCTCCTAGATTGGTGCAACTGATTCCATATCAGGAGCACTTCACCAGCATCAATGCATGGTCAGACAGCGATCACGGTGGATGCATAAAGTCCAGAAAAAGCACGACTGGAACAGTGATCCAGCTCGGAGAGTCAACGGTGAAGGCAGCAGCCAAGGGGCAAGCTGTGATAGCTTTGTCCACAGGAGAAGCAGAGTACTATGGCTTGATCTCAACTGCATCTACCGCCTTGGGCGAGCAAGCGATGATGGCAGATTGGGGCATCAAGCTCTCCGTCAACATAGCTATGGATGCCAGTGCAGGCATATCCATCGGCTCGAGACGAGGGCTGGGAAAAGTCAAACACATTGACACCTGCTATCTATGGGTCCAGGAAATAGTGGACCAAGGGAGAATCCGTCTGAAGAAGGTCAGTACGCAAGACATGCTTGCGGATCTCATGACGAAGCCACTGGACGGCCAAACTGCATCTAGGCTACTTGGTCGAATGGGCTACAACGTAAGGTCCGGAAAGCACGAGTTGGCCTTGGGAAAGGTGTGAAGACTACCCCAAAGGCTCGCAGGGAAAGCAAAGCGTGATCCCTACTCGGGAGGCGTGACTGGATTTGGGGTATAGTTTGGGTCTAAGGTCTCATGTACAGTTGTTTCACACCGACGTTACTTTTGGCTCAAGTGTGCGGTTGCTAAAATAGCGTTTCAGGTTTAGGGTTTATGGTTTAGGGTTTAGGGTTTAGGGTTTAGGGTCTAGGGTCTAGGGTCTAGGGTTTAGGGTAGGGGTTTAGGGTTTAGGGTTTAGGGTTTAGGGTTTAGGGTTTAGGGTTAGGGGTTAGGGGTTTAGGGTTTAGGGTTTAGGGTCTAGGGTCTAGGGTCTGGGGTCTAGGGTTTAGGGTAGGGGTTTACGGTTTAGGGTTTAGGGTTTAGGGTTTACGGACGAAAGGAGGGACCCCCTTGTAATGAGGGACCTTAGGGGGAGTGATGCAGGCGGTACTTAGGGACTACTTAGGTATAAAGGGACGATATACGGTGTATATATAAATATATACATATTGGTAAAATGTGGGAATGGTGAGAGTAAGGGTCCCTTGTAGGGGTCCTTCCTTGTATCCCTGGAAGCAGGGCAGAGAAGCCAGGAGGATGTGTTGGATTTATAGGGTGTACGGGGTTCATAGGGCATGCAGGCTTTAGAAGTTTTCAAGATGTACAGAGTTTGTAGGGTTCAAGTATCTCGGCAGCTTGTGACATTTCATAAAGAGGTTTGTAGAGCCAGCCGAGGGTTTACTGTAAGACTTATGCAGGGTTCTAGGGCGGAGGAGCTGTCGCGTTGGTGCTTTCCATCTTGCTGACTCATTGATGTGTTGGGGGTTTAAGGCTTTTGGCGAGGTTGCTGGCTGGTCGATCTTTACTGGAGGTGAATCAGAACTGAACTGAAGATGTAAATATGAACATCCTACATGATGTGGAAGGGTTTAAAGAGTGCAGAGCCCGAAACGCCTGTAAAATCCCTGAATCTCTGAAACCGTAAACCCGATAGAACTCCTAAACCCTGCACCCTAAACCCTAAACCCCGATATACCCCCAAAACCCCAGAAAACTATGTCGGGCCTGTGAACCATGGAATGAAGCCCTCAAAAAGGGGAATCCTTGCCGAAAGGGCAACCTTTCTTGACCCGAAACCCTCAACCCGGGTTTAGGGTTTAGGGTTTAGGACTTAGGACTTAGGATTTCGGGTTCAGCATATAGGGTTTAGGGTTTTTGGCCCAAAAAACCTAATCCGCGCCGACCCTCTAGTCCCTAAAGCCGCGTGCTCCCTAAACCAGGTCGGTCACCTCAGGCCAGTGCTGGGAGGACGCGGCAGGGGTTTAGGGTTTAAGGTTCAGGGTTTAGGGTACGGGGGGACAACCAAGGAAGGAAATCAACTCCCCTAATCGCCCTGAACTTATATTCCCCAGATCGAACCAAGAAACAAACAAGAACACGGATAAGAGCAACCCAGGGGGGAAGGAAAGGGGGAAGGAATCCACACCCTTACCAAACCCTAAGAACCCAGGCACTACTTTTTGAACTTGTGGCTTTCTGTTCAAGCCCATCTTGAGCCAAACATGATTTCCGGGTTCATTAACCCTTCCAACTCTCAACACTAACCCTTTTCTACAATACCAATTGCAGCTCCGCACTCCCCCTGTCCTAGGATTTCCTAGGACACACTGGAGATGCAGATCTTTTGGCCAAAAACTGCCATTAAGGCAGCAGCCAGCTGCTTGAAATGCATGTTGTGGTTTAACGTCTTCCAGGACGGAATTATAGCACATTGGCTAACCTACTACCCATAGAGAATCTCTTTTCACCATGATCCTCTCATCACTGAAGACTCCTTGGCCTTCTTCACCACAAACCGTGGTCTTCGCCACGCGAAAAGCTACTAACTTCTACTATCAGGGATTTCCATACCCTTAATAGTAACCACCACATTGTCAGCACATTGGCTGTTCCAGCGCACCTGTCTCCAGAAAGAGAAAAACCATCCCTTCATCCATACCATCCAATCACTTCTTTTTCCGATTGTTGGCAATCTTGAGGTGAAGTTGCAGCAGAATATACTCCAGGTCCGAAACTGTAAGAACAGGATCCTGTACGCCCCTTTGAATTGAGGATACCAATCCTTCTCTCTTTGCGTCCTCAATCGCCTGGCAAGATTGACCCAGCTCTTCATTCGCAGTGGCAGACCCTGGTGCATCCGCATCAGATGGACGATCCTTTTCCTCAGGATCTTGCACCATTACCACCTCTTCTTTTTTGGGACTCTGACTTTTCTCCCTCTTCTTTGTCTTTCCACCGACATTTGACTTTGTGCGCGTCTTCGAGGATTTTTCCACTGCAGAAGCCACCACATTGGATGTTGATCCACCCTTCTCAATGATCGTCGGCATCTTCTTTGGCTTTGGAACCATGAGAGTGTAAGGATCTTCAATAGCTGCAGCTTTCCTCTTCTTTTTTACCTTTTTCTTCTCTTCTTCAACGGCAACCTCCGTCTCCGAAGTCTCAACCGCTCCTTTTTCGGCAGGAATATCCTTGCTGGACTCCCTTTCTAGGGACCTCTTTTTACCTCTTTTGGAATCCTTTTCCTCTCCCAAATTGGCTCGCTCATACCATATCCTCAGGTCATTGACCCATTCTTCCACCTCCGCGAGCGAAACCTCATACGACTTCACTACTTCGAGAAGTTCCAGCACGGTCAACATTTCAGTGGTCCACGAAACCCATTCTTGATCCATTTGGTCAGCATCTCCAGTGAACTTCAGGAGTTTGAACAATGGGTCCGCCTCTGCTCGAGCCAAATCTGGCTTGCCACCGGACAGAAATGAAATCGCCTCCATCAACAGTTCCGTCATCTTGGTCTCTTCGTCATAAACCATAAAATCCTCCTCATCATCATCGAACTGTTCAGGAGAGATCTCCTTTTCTCCACCATTTGCACCAGACTTTCTCCTTGGACCATCCCTTGGGGGCGTCCTTGGAGACCTTGGCCTCTGTTCTTCCAGCGGAACACCATGCTCGAAGACACACCTGTCACCAAACCGACACTTCCCAGACCGAGCAAACTGGACGCACCTCACACCAGTTGCATCATGCGAGAACCCACAATCCTTTCCAGCGAAACATTCTCTCCCTGCCACATAGTATTTACACCAATACGAATGTAGCACCACATCATCTTCGGAATGGATGAATTTGCAGTCGTCACCAAATTTGCAGCGATCTTTCCCCTTGCCGAACCAATAGCAGAAGCCCTTCTTCCTCTTCTCCAAGCGCTCTGCCTCATACCGGTCCATAGGGCGATTGTGCTCTACATGAACATTGCCATGTACCTGGGGACTGCTCCCTTCACCCGACGTGCTATCAGTATTTGGTGCTTGGAGTACAGCTGGAAAACCTGGCCTTGGTCCTACCACCTTCATGATCGGTTTTCCGCCAACTCCTGAGCCATGCTGAGACGATCCAAAAACATTGAACATCTTCGTGAAGGCCTTTCTAGTGCCAATCTTCTGCACCCTTTTGATTGGACGTTTCATTGCTCCAACCTTGCATCCAGATGCGTTCAAACGACACAACCTCCTATAACCAACTCTATGTCCCTTCTTCCAAAGAGCCATAAGAATTTTAGAGGCAGTAACATTCTCCACCTCTACCTTTTCCAATGGTCCCTCACTTCCCGGAACAAACCCATCCATATCTGAAGACCTTTCCATCTTTTTTGACACCACTTCGTCGAGGTAGTCTTCCGAGATCCAGGGTAAGTTCCCCTTAGAGGAAGGATTGTCATCATTGTTTGGTCCTTCACCAGGATACCCTTTTGTGCTGTCAAAGATCTTACCAGTAGTGCGGTCCTGCATAGAGAAATTCGAAGCCACGCGGGAGTACACTGACCACAAGAAAATCCTTGTGTCCGCCAGTCTTGATGACCCACTGGATGTCTCCTCTTCCGGAGAAACTTCTGGCGCTTTGCCATCCCCTCCAGTGTCACCACTTGTCTCACCTCCAGCATCTTCAATGGGAATAAGGGATTCATTGTTCCCTTGATCAAGCACCGCATCCTCTGGTCCAAGAACTTCCAGCACCGCTGTCGAAGGATCCACCTCTTCATCAGCATCGTCGTCCATCCTTCTCCAGAGAGCCTCCAATTGGTCCGCACAAGTCGCCGCTTGAAGGAACTCCATCAACCGGGCCCTCCCGCGCTGCCAGAGAAATTCCGAAACCATCACCGACCCTTGGGCTCCAAGATTCAGGAACGGGTGAACCATTTTGGCTACCCTCGCCATAAGTTCAATGTGAACTTCCATGCCTGGACTGCGGCTCCAATCATAGGCAATTGCCTCCATAGCAGTTCCAAACTTGTCAGTATTCTTGAATTCCCCTTCCAGACCAGGAGACAACAAGGCACCCATCACCGAAAGAGGATAATTCCCCACCGCCGGCAAGCACGGGTTGTCATGGAACGAATGATGCAGGTCACTATAATGTCCTTGATCTCTCCTTTGAAAAAGGAGTGCTCCAGTCCCTAGCTGGGCATTCATTTCATCCACTTGAACCATTTCAGCACATATCCTCTGTGCCATGTACGCCATTGCTGGCCAGACGGAACGATCGGTAAGACCGCGACGCATAACCCAATCAGTTGTTGGCGACTGAATCAGCGTCCTTGGATCATACACCAGAACTACCATCGCACCGTCACCCATTGACTGATCAGCATCGTCCTCCAGTGCCAGGTTCTCATCCTGTTCGCTTGCACCCTCGGATGACATGCTAATAACCAAATTTCGATCCATCTTATTGGACCCTTTTTGGCAGTCTCTTTGCCCCACCGGCAACTTGCCAACTGCAACCTTCCAATAAATCCGAGTCAGAAGGCCTTTAACCAGCAATTGCTGAAGGTCATTCCTCACCGGACCACCATCCAATATCTTCGCATCATCACCACGGAGTTCATTGCTCCCACCTTCTCCTTCTTTTTGGTCAGTCTCCTCGCCAGAAATCTGTACT